TCACCCTGTCAACCGCAACCTGGCTGCAGACCACGCAACTGGAGCACTTGCTTCGAAGCCCATTCATCGGCATCAGTCTAGATGAGAGCACGGATTGCTGTAGGGGGAAACATCTGATAGTCTTCGCCACATTCATTCGCGAGAATCGTGTCGTCTGCGAGTATCTCACCCTGCTCACGGTGGTCAAGGTGGACGTTGCGTCCCTGCTCACTCTGTTGCTCTCATACATGGGGGTGATTGGCGTAGACCTGCGGCGGGTCTCCGGCATCAGCACCGATGGTGCGGCTGTGATGATGGGAGCCAAAGGGGGTCTGGTGACGCTCCTGCGACACCATATTCCTCACTTGGTGTCTTGTTACTGCATAGCACACAGGTAAGCGCTGTTTTTTATATGAGTGGCGTTTACACAAACGGACTGTTGTACGTATTAACACCCTTCTGTATCATGCATCATTTGTGTGTGCACAGAGAGGCACTGGCTGTGAAGGCGGCTGCAAATGAGGTGCCCGGTTTCAAGTTCATCGACGATGTGATTCGTGAACTGGCCGAGTTCCTTGGTCGTTCGGGGCCGTGGCACCAGCGGTATCTGGAGCTCCAGGACGTGTTTCTGGCAACGTCACTAGAGATGCAGGGCATTTTTCACGTTCGTTGGCTATCTTGAGGTGACGTTGTCATTCGTCTTGTCAATGTTCTCCCTGCAATCATTGTCATGCTCTCTGAGTTTCCTGACAAGTAGCTGTACAACGTTGTCACATCTTACTGTTTTTGGATCATGCTGATGTTTCTTGCTGATGTTCTCTAGCTGCTCAACACTCTCAACAAGACCTTTCAATCACGCTAAGTTGCCTTCTCTCAACAATTATGCTAAGTTGCCTTTTTTCTTTTTAAACCATACTTACTACGACTTGCCTTACTCTGCATATGTCCCCCCCACTCGCAGCTGGACTTCGGCTCCGTCAACTCGGCAATCAGCCGCATGAAGTCCCTCCTCCTAAGCCGCTACGTCGACTGCGGCGACGACTTCGCCGGGGGGGCGAAAGACCGCCTCACAGGATTTCTCACCCGTCACGGCCCTGGCGGTTCGCGCAGCGTCACCGTTGAAGGGCTGAAGTCCGATGGCAGCTCAACACGCTTCACCTTCATCCTGCATGACCGAGGGCTTCCGGACTATCCTAGGGGGTGGAAGCATGATGACTGCATGGTGGAGTGCGTGGCGTTGGCAGAGAGGCTGGTTAACAACCTATAGGAGCGGCTGGGGGATGTGGAGAAGTTGATCGGCTCCAGAATGTTCGCTGCGGATGAGTGGCCCGTGGGGTGGCTATGAGCTCCCCGGAATGCCCAGTGCCTTGCCTGGTTTGAGTCTCTAGTCGACCTCTACCATGCTGGCAAGGCTGTCGAGATCCTGCCAGGCATCGACAAGTTTGCAGCTGCCAAGGAAATCCCGCACTTCACCCCGGTTCTTGCTGCCCTTCCGAAAGGTGACAAGGGCTTCTTCACTGGTCTCACTGCCATGCTCAAGACACCAGACTGGCAGCATAGTTACCCAACTTGGTGAAGTTCTAGTGCGCCGTTGCCGTCCTGCCTCTTAGTACCGTAGAGTGCGAGCGCGGGTTCTCCCGCCAGAATAAGTTAAAGAGTACCTTGCGTGGCAGCATGAAAGATACACGTCTTGGGGACCTGATGTGCCTTAGCTTGCTAGAAAATGAGCCCGATTGGGCAGCAGTTGTAGAAATCTGGAGGGCGTACAAGAAGAGGAAGCCCTACAACAATGCTCCTCAGATCCAAGACCGTGGTAGCAAGAAAGGGAAGGAGAAAGAGGATGATGATGTTGGTGTGGTAGCTGTAGAGTACATGGAAGAGGAGGAGGATGAGTAGATTTTCTGCCCTCATAATACAATGCCTTTGGTTTTCAGCTCAGCTTAAATGTATCAACTCACCCTGAATACTCAGCTTAATTTTTCTTTCACTGCCCTGAAAAATCAGCGGAAAAAAAAGAGGGGGACTGAAAAAACAGGGTTTCTTTGGGGGGGGTGGGGGGGGGTGAGCAATCAGGGCACCTGTAAACCAATCTGAGGGCCTGGATGTATATAATCTGACTAAGGGCCTAAAAGCGCCCTCACAACGCAATGTGTGTTGGATGCTGTGTGAGGGCGGTAATTGGCCCTTAGCCAGATTTACCAGGTGACGAATGGTGCAGTTTGTACGAGGGCGCGGATTGGTCCACTGAAAACTCCACGAGATTTGTGCTTCTGCGTGGTGACTGCGCGTGGATTGTGTGTGGGGTGTGGGGAAGAGGGGAGTTTTTGTGAATGGTACTGGTTGCCCACCGCCAACCAGCGGTGTGCAAACTTGAAAGGCAACCCCCGTCGCGCCCTTCAATTTCGTTTCCGAACCATTCCCCAGCTCTCCCCGGTTACGCAATTGTGATGCACCACCAATCAATCCCTTCTCGCCCCGCACCCTTCTTTCACACACGACCCGCGCTGGCACTAGCTCCCTCAAAACGGCATGTGATCACGTATGAATTAGGCAATCAGACCAGGCCCTCGGATTGGTTTTGAACCACCCTGATTGATCAGGGTCGGGTTGAAAAAAAAAACTTTCCGTCAGGGTCGGTACCGGACACAACCCTGATTTTTCAGAGTCGGTACCGATTTCGACACTGACGCATCATGGTCGTGGTCGCATCGGATCGGACACTGAATTTGTCCTGTCACTTGTTTGTCATGCGGAAGAGCATGCTGTAGAGCATTACGTTGTCTCCATGGCCCTCGCTAGGCGCTTTCGTTTTGTGATTTCCGAGACGAAGCAAAATTCGATATCTAAATTTTCAGCCTAGTGGTTGCTTGTTCACACACTCCCCCGGGCTTTGCCATTGTAACTTCACATGCCGTAGTGGAAACAAACACATTCGATTCTCAACTCCCAAGAACCTTGGTCGGTCGGGTCCAAGGACGGTGGGGTCCAAGCCAAGGTCGCAAACAGGGCGAAACTTGGATGGGTCACGAACGAGTTTGAAAGGCGCGGGGGGAAGGGGAAAAAAAATGAAATTGAAGGGACGGGACTCGGGGAGGCAGGCAGCACCCTCACAAAGTGGTTGGCGGGGGTCAACCAGCGCCCCCCACATGTCAGCCCCCACCAACCTCACAAGCCGCAAAATCGGTGAAGGACCAATCAGGGCCCTCAAGCAGACTGCACCACACGTCACGCGCTGAATCTGGCGAAGAACCAATTAGCGCCCTCACACTACCACTCCTCGCGTTGTGAGGGCGCTAATTGGCCCGATGGGGTAAATTTGTCGAAGGGCCAGTTAGCGCCCTCACAAATCCTCCAGCAATTATCGGGCACTGATTTTGGCTAAGGGCTAATCAGCCCCTTCATACATCAGCAAGGATCGGTTTCAAGGTGGGGGGGGGCGGGAGGGGGGAGGGGAGGAGGACTTCAGATTTTGTTTCAGGGTGCATACGCGATATGACACTGACGCATCAGTTTCGACCCACAAAAACACTCTGAAAAATCATTGTCCTTACATACAACGTCCCTGAAAAATCAGGGTCGACCAGGCCTCTGGATAGGATTAGAAGTACTCTTTCTTGCAAGGGTACTCGCTTGCTGCCACTTTTTCTGTAAGGGTATTTTTTAAAGCTACTTTGTAATATAAGGGTCCTAAATATTTGTACTTTTTCACATAAGGGTATAACTCCAGCGCAGCCTTACACTTTACTGTAGTTACAGGACCTCGCGTGATTAGACGACTGACGTGTTGCAGATACAGGTCATATGCCTTGTAGGCGACTTCCTTTTACGCCCGGGAGTATCTCATAGGCATTTTATCCTTAAGGACCTCTCCTTGTAAGCAAAGTGTACCTGTCTCAACTGAACAGTAAATATGACAGTCAAGTCGGATGATGTAAGAGCGTCCAATCATTTTCTCCTGTGCTTTCAGAGCGACCACGCCTAGTGGTCGGCGAGCCTCTGAAAATCCAGATGTGTCAGGCTCGCCAACCAATGAATCTGTTTTTCTTTTGAAACCAGGCCTGTGGAAGTGAGGGCAATTACACTGCTTTGTCAAGAAAAACAGGGTGAAATTTCGACGCCCGAGTTTTGAGTAGGGGATGGACTTACCCTGAAAATTTTAATGTAGAAGTTCACACCCCTAGAAAAAATGGCTCCCCTGTCATTGTCAGGAGTGGCACATTCTGAGCAGGGCGAAACTCATGCCTGCAAAAACAGTCAAAAGTTTTAGAGCTACCCAGCCAGGAAGACTTGGGCAAACTCGGATTACGCAGGGTGACCCCTAGGTTATCGAGGGACCAGTTTGAAACGCGAAGTTGATACACAGGTGGAGAGACTTGCGACGCTGCGACGTTTCCTCAATCGCTGCATACGCTAGTCAAGCCGCCCATGCACAGTACACAAAAAACACCGCCCCATTTCCTGGGAAAATCCCATAGTCCACGTTGCCCCTACCGTACGGCCCGTATTCGTTGTAAGCGAAATCTCTCGCGTCGCCCCCCGGGCTCTCAGGGCATATGACCTGTATGTGACGACGTGCCTTGGGTGGCACTCGACGGGGTGCACCAAGATTTTTGTTTTTGTTTGTTAGCGCTGAAGTGTGGGGAATGTCGCACCTCGGTAATTTTGCTGTTAGTGCGTATTTCTACATTAGTGCGTTCAGTACCAGGGAACCAAACTTCGCGAAGTACCAAATCGAACCGAACAGGAATTCGCTTTTTGACCCTCGAACCTCACTGTTTCGCGCTTCAGAGTCCATTCCGGGTTTGCTGGTACTGATTACTGCCTTGTAGAAATACGACCTCATTCACTAGACCCTTCCTGGTCGCGACCTCATTTCCCGTTGGTGCCCCACTCGGTTTGTTTTTTTTTTTTTTTTTTTTTTTTGTTTGTTATTTCATTTCTTTAGCTAATGTAGTGGCGGATACGACTCTACCAACACGAATTATACATTCAAGATGGCAGGTTTTGTAACCGTGCGCATCAGGGTCCCTACACTCGACCACTTTGAAAAAACAGGGTCCCGTATAGATCTAGTTTTTTTCATAAGGGTCAAAAACTAAACCACTTTTAAAAATAAGGGTCCAACAGCTACCCCACCCTTATTATAAGGGCCGTAAGGGTATTTTACCCTGATATCCTGAGGCCTGGGGTCTACCCCTTCCCCTAGGCTGAAAAATCAGGGTCAGTACAGCAAAACACCCTGAAAATCAGCAAAATCAGGAGAAAATTCCTGAAATCTCAGGGCCTGAATCAGACACACGTGGCATGATGACCCATGCATTTGCAGGCATCTACAAGAGAACATACTTAACAGAGTAATTTTTTTAGAAATACTGGTTTACTCTGACCATTCAGGGAAAATGTTGGAAATCACTCAGATTTTCAGTGTTCTGATTAAAAATCACTGCCAGATTTCAGAGTAGCGAAAACTCAAAGATCAGCACTGGTCTAGATGCGTGCCTTGCCGCGTTGAGAGATAGACCACTACCAGCGGCCTTTGCCCCATCTGTGGTACCTGTAGTGCCCCCCCCCCCCTTGTATTCTCCCCGCTCGTCCTCAGGCCTCTCACCGATGCCTGCTGGTGAATCCCCGCCTCCATCAAACACACTTGGCACGGTACAATGGCCGCGACGCCTGCTTTGCTGCCTTTGCTGCCTTGCGGGTTAAACCACTACCAGCACCCTTCGCCCCATCTGTGGTGCCTGCCGTGCCCCTCCCTCCTTCCCCCCTCTCGTCCCTCATGCCCCTCACCGACGCCTCCTGGTGAATCCCTGCCACCTCATCTGCCCTCGATGCAAACACCAAGTCATGAAACGACCTCCCTGTTTTCCTCTCTCCCTCACCCTTCTTCTCCCCCTTCCTGTCTCCTTTTTCGCCTCCCTCCCCTACCCCCCCCAAATCCCCCGCCTCCTCCGTCTCCCTCATCAGCTTACTCTCCTCGATTTGCTTCTTTCTAAACCACTCATGAGCTGCCACGTGTGCAGCTGCCATGTCATCACTGTACCGCTCAACCTTCACCATAGTCACAAGCCGCCTGCTCCACCTCTTGGTCAGAATCTGCTCACTGTTAGCCGCCAACCTTAAGCACGGGTGCCCCGGAATATCCGAGGGTAAATACTCCTCCCGGGCAGCCGGGTAGAAATAAACTAGCCGCCCGCCAATGGCAAGCAGCCGGGCAGCTGTGTCTAAAAGATCGTGCAGGCATTCTTCTAGGGAGTAAGGTGCAGTGGAGGGAATGTGGGCAGCTTTCAAGTCTTCTGCTATAGAGTAAGGGTCGGTCACCCCGTTGAGAATTTTCCTCCCTCCTGACTTTCGGCCGCCTGCCCGAACGCCGTACGGAGGATCACAAATGATGGCATCGAAGATCTGGAGAGTAAAAGGGGGAAAGAAAAGAAAATGGACGGAGGAGAAGAAGCCAAGGGAAATTAAGAAAGGGGAGACTCTTGAGTCGAGTCAAAGGAGGATCATAAATGATGGCATCAAAGATCTGGAGATTGGGGGGGAGCAAAACAAGAGGGAGAGGAGGAAGCCCATAGCAGGGGGAAAAAAGGAGAGAGAAATGACGCAAAAACAAATAGCAGCGAGGAACGGGAAGGGTTTGGGTGGGGAGGGGAGGCGGGAAGAAATGGGGGGGGGGCAGAAGGCATTGAGGCGGAACAGAATGACTCACGTCAATGACACCTTACCATATGCACTGACCTCTCCTAGAGAATTACACGTTTCACTTGGAAAGGACAGGAATACAATGTAACTGCTGTAGGAGCAGGCAGGACACAAACATTCCTCTCAATACTCCCCTCAACTCACGGCAACATGTGTCATGCTGCTGAAATCACAGGAACGGCTGCAATGAACATCAAAATCAAGGGGCGAGAAGTGCGCGCACCTCTCGCAAGTCTTGCCTCCAGGGCGGGCAATTGTTGTCGGCTCTCAGCAATCCCACTGGCGGAGAGAGCGAGTACTGGATGGGGCAGTGGTAGGATTGAGGAGGGGAGGAAAGGAAAGACAGGGCGGAAATATGGGAATGCAAGAAAAGGGCAGGGGGGCAGATGGCTCCAGGGCAGGCAATAGTTGTCCGCTCTCAGCAATCCCACTGGTGGAGACAGAGAGTACTGAGGGGAGGGGGAGGAGAGAGGTTGGGGGGGGGAGGGGGGGGTAAGTAAATAACACGGACAGAGATTACTGAGGGGAGGGGGGAGGGGAAGGGGGGGTAAGTAAAGAACGCGGCATGAGCAGGGGAAGGAATTGCTTCCAGGGGAGATAGCTCTCAGCAATCCGACTGGCGGAGATAGCAAGTACTGGAGGGGGGGAGAGAGACGGAGAGGGTGGCATGGGACCAGGGGAGGAGAGAGGGGGGGGGAGAGGGGGAGGGGAGAGTTGGAGGGGAGAGGGGGAGAGGAGAGGGGGAAGGGAGAGGGGGAGAGGAGAGGGGGAGGGGAGAGGGGGAGGGAAGAGGGGGAGGGGGAGGGGAGAAGGGAAAGATGTGCAAGGAGGGTTGGACCAGGTGCAGTACGGAGAGGGAGGGGAGAGGGAGAGGATGTGATTGAAGACCTGTAGCACAGGTGCAGTGTGAACCAGTCGGCGTTCTTCCGGCATGTGATGTGACAGATTCTTCCAGCAAGACCAGTTGACAGTGCACGCCGGGTCTTGGGCCTTTGAACCCTGAGAGATCATTAACTGCGCTGCACGGATGCACCCTACCATAAGCCACACAGGTGTGTGACCCACCACCCTGAATACACGCAGACTAAAATCAAACACAGCTAAAACAGGCAAAGCGCGAACCGAACACTCTCAACACCCACTCACAATCAAACTCAAACCATCTACCATCAACGCTCCCCTAAACCCTAAGCGTAGCACTCCCCTCGACACTCCCCTCGACGCTCCCCTCAACAGTCACTCACTCACAATCAAACTCAAACCAGATAGAAGCCCGTAAGCCCACGCACCTGGTGGAAGTTCGCCCACACGTCCCGATTTGGCCCCTTGCCATCCCGAACAACCCTGATGTCGATGTCTGCTCCCTGTGGGTATTGCATTGGCGGGTGGGGGGGAGAGGGAGTTTGAGTCGACTCAAAAGTCACTGTGTCCTGTGGTCTCGTATAGGGAGTGAGTGAGTGTGTGTGTGTGTGTCGGGGGGGGGGGAGGAGGGAGGGGGATCTTAATCCAAATGTCAACCCAAAAGACAGCCTAGTCTCACACATTGGCCCACCATGGTTACCAGTTGTAGGGCTTAGGGTTTTAGGAGTTAAAAGTCATTTGGTATAGAGTCTCATTGTCTCACCATGGTAACAGCACCGGAATGAGCAGCAGCAGCTAAAATGCTCTCCGGGCCCACAAAAGGGTCGCAAACAAGCAGTCCTCGCCATGCAAGGTTTTGCCTGGCATTCACCAGAGCAGACGGTTTTGCAACTCACCATAGTAACAGCACCAAAGTGAGCAGCAGCCACCAGAATGCTGTCCATGCAGACGTATGGATCACACATCAGCGCTCCCCACCAGAATATTGAAGGGGTTGCGTATGAATATTCAAGTATTTGGGATGTACACTCGAATCTTAGTTGCTACAAACGCGTTTGGCGTTTGAACGCTAGCGTTCAAACGCTAGCGTTTGAACGCTAAACGCTTGTCATAGTGTATGTGAACGCTAGGCAAACGCTTGCCCGGGCAGGGCTAAAAATTTTGCCCGGGCAGGGGTAAAATTTTTCTGTGGGGGGGTGGGGAAATGGGGGTTCTGCAAGCAACCATTTTGTCCCAAAAAAAAATAATCCTTCATGAACATTTATGCAAGCATCCTCAAATGTCATGCAAAACACATGTCCTAAAGCCCATTCTCCCTCCCCAAACACAACAACAACCACTCCCCCCGCCCTTCCCCAACAGTGCTTCGTGCCCTCTATCTATCCGTCCATGCTACTCCGCACCCACCCACTCCTCCTCCCCGTATTCGTCCGCGAGCACGGGGTCAATCCCCTCCTCATCATCCTCTTACTCCCCGTCTGCATCAACATTGTAGCCTTTGGGGATGGGAGCCGCCGGGATGTTCCCGGCGAGCACACGCGTAGTCCTGTCGAGGGACTTGTGCCAGTTGCGCACAACATGCCAGTTGTGCGCAACATACACGAGGTCCCTACACTTCTCGGAACCCAGCCGGTTCCTGCGCGCCGTGTGCACAGCTTCCCACATAGACCAACCGCGCTCGCAGCTAGACGCGGACACCGGCTGCGTGAGCACACGGCAAGCCAGCTCTGCGAGCTCGGGGTAATCTGTTCCATGCCAAGTCCACCACTGCTCCATCAACATACCCCCCTCCTTCACCTGCTGCCGCTGCTGTACTGCTTCCGGCATGCCAAAACTCCCCTTCATATTCAAGAACGCACTAACCCCCTCCTGCAGAACAGCTGCCCCACTCTTTCCCATCACCTTCTTCCTGGTGATAGTCAAGCCGCTGCCGTAGCGCGCTATGAACTCTTTGAACACATTGGTGCACTCCTCATCGGGCCCAAAAATTTTCTCCTCCTGGTTGGCCGGATTGAGGATCCGACCAACAGCATGGAGGGGAGAGGCCATGGATAGATCCCACCTCCGCTGCACAATCTCCTCAATCGCCTCCTTCTCCCCCAGCGTCAGTTGCTTGTCCTCCTCCTTGAGCAGGTTGTGCACGTCCTCAGTCAGCTTCAGCATCAAGTCGTAGATCTGACCCATCATCCCCTTAGCGGTTGAGTCGGTTGCACGCATGACGACATAACGGCAGTTTCAGCAGCTTGGTGAAGAACTCAGCTGCTGCCCACCACGCCTTGTCACCCACGATGTTCTCAACGGATTCTGCTGCCGCCTTCTGCTTCCCAACAGCCCACCCCTTCCACACATCGCCCGCCACCATCACCCTCAATTTCTCCTGCAGCTCCACAACGCGGGACACGCTATGTATTGGGTGCCGAAACGAGTCCTGCCGGTTTCAACATCTGCAATACCTTCCCGTTCAGCTCCCCCGGCTCGCGCAGGTAGTTCCGGGTCCAGTGGTGGTTGCGCACGTAGTTGAGTGACTTCGTTTGCACGCTCCACCACCTTCTTCGCCCATGCCTGCTTCCCCACATCCTCCATCAGCAGGTCATCACGTGCGTGGCGCATGGAACATGCTCAATGTGCGGCCACTCCTCCTCAACACCCGCGTGGCAGCCCCATAGTTACTCCCCCCGTCCGTGCAGAGCGCGACGACATTCTGCGGTCCAATCTTCTCGATCACCGGGCGAAGGAGGCTGGCTATGTATCCGCCGGTTTTGGTTTCCATCCGGCAGTCGATGCTCTCCGCGAACATGGCACCGCGGTCATTCACCAGCATGATGTTCGCCTGTGGGCGCCCGCAGCGGTCGGTCATCATGTCCGACGCAACAGTCACACCATGGCGCTTCCAAGTCTTCGCGACCGGGATCTAGCGCTAGCTCAATGCGCTTGCGGCACTCCCTTCAACCCCGCGCCACCGATGTAGGCCGCGCCCGGGCGGCACGTACGACGGTCCAGCACGAGCGACCGCTCGGAGAGCGTCGAGGGAAGAATGGATGCGCCGCATGATGTTCGGGGATTCGGAGGCCGGCGAACATGAGCGCCAAAGCCACGTCTGCCTCTTCTTTGACGCATTGCTTCTCCCCACTGAAATAGCCAGTAATCTTGTTTCGCTTCCCACCACCACCAACTGCAGCCAAAGCATCCTCCTCCGCCTTTTTTTTCTCAGCCTTCGCATTCGCCTTGGTCTCATAAAGCACGCGCATTTCTTCCCGTACCTCGCTAGACGCCTTCGTACACTCCTTCACCTCCCGCCGCCCTTGTCCATTCCACTTGGTGAAATGTGCGGCGCAACGGTTGGGACTACCGGCCATCTTGTGCCCACAAAAGCGACACTCGTATTTCTGCATTGCACCGGCCTCCTTGACTAGAACGCGAAAGTATTTATAGACCTCATGGTTCTTATCCGCCTCGTACGCATTAGAACATGCGGACGGTGTAACATCAACATCCACATCGCTCTCAGGGGTTGACATGGCCGAGCGCCCTTAAGGCTATGGCGCGCGGCAATTAGAAAGCAGATATGACGGGGGAAGCAGATCTGACGGGAGAGTTAGCATGAAACTACGAGATGTGAGGAGGAGGGGTTGGAAGCTCTAGTTGACGATGTGTGGAGTGCGGGGGGGGGGGAGTTGGTTGGGAGGTGAATATTGACGAGATGGTTGGGAGTTGGGACTTGGCGAATGTCGCGCTGAATTCGCCGAGTCTCAATTTCGCGCCAATTTTTTTTGACTTTTTTTCCGGGGGCAGCCCGAAAAAAAAACCCAGCGAGCGTTTGCGTTTTAGGGTTCGTTTGGCGTTTGCGTTCAAACGCAAGCGTTTGAACGCTAAACGCGCGTCTGCCAGAGCGTTTGTAGCAACTTAGACTCGAATTACTCACTTGGGATTAATCACCGTCGTGATTGCGCCCAAGGGAGCAGCAGCAACCAGAATTCTGCCGTGCCAACACACGGGTCGCACATGAGCGCTCCCCGCCGTGCGAGGTGATAAAAGCACAGGGAAAATTCCCACCACAGTAACAGCACTGAAATGCGCAGCAGCCACTGGAATGCTGCCCGTGCCCACTAGCAGATTGTATATAAATTCTCCGCACTGTGCGAGGTTGTAAAAGTACAGGGGACAATCTTACCATGGCAACAGGCACCGAAATGCGCAGCCGCAACCAGAATGCTCCCAGTCCCAACAAACGGGTCATACATGAGCGCTCCCCGCCATGCGAGCGCCCTGATGGGCCATCAGCAACACCAGGTTTGAGGTCTTAGGGCTCAAGCCTTCTATTGTTGTTCAGTATTGAGTCTTACCATAGTAACCGCACCGAAATGAGCAGCAGCAACCAGAATGCTCCCCGTCCCAACAAACGGATCGTACATGAGCGCTCCCCGCCGTGCAAGCGCCTGATTGGCCATCAGCAGCGCCAGCTCAGCATCCATGGCGGTGGGGCCCAGGTACTGCCTGCGACTCAACTCGTACTTTGTGGCCACTGTGCGATCTGTTACTGCAACCTGCCAGGAATCCGTGAAGAAATAATGGGGCAGCGTGGGAAGTGAACAGGGTGGCTGTTTGGGGCAGCGCCAGCTCAGCATCCATGGCGGTGGGGTCGAGGCACTGCCGGAGGCTGAGCTCGTACTTTGTGGCTACTGTGCGATCTGATACAGCGACCTGTGATGATTATTGGGAGGAGGGATGAGGAAGATGAGGAGAGTGGTAAGACACCTCAACTCGCACTTTGTGGCTATGATGCGATCTGACAACGCTACCTGCAGGTGCATAGCGCAGTGTGTGGGACAGCAGTGGGGGGCAGAGCGGGGGGCAGAGCGGGGGGCAGAGCGGGGAAAGTAGGGCGGGTGTGTTTGTTGGGAGGGAGGCCGTTGAATTGGACACCAAGTAGAGGTGCCAACTAGTCAATGCAAGTGTTTGCACCTTCCCAATGGAGGTGCCAATTAGTCAATGCAGGTGTCAATGCCAAGAAGTCAATGCAAGGCGGCATCTTACAGAGCAAAGTACTCAAGTTGTTCGCTTTCAAGTGCTTCTACACCCACCTCTCGGCCAATAAACACGCGAGTGGGCATGTTAGGGGGAAGGCCGTTATTGGTGCTGTCTGCTGCCTGCTCTATCACCCAGAACTTGTGGTCGGGACGGCTCAGATTCACACGACCCTGCAAATGGCAGACGAAAGAGGGCATGTGGAAGGGGAGGAGTGGGAGACAGGAAGGCAC